TTTCTGCCATTAATTGCTCTCAGGTTCTGAGGAACGGCGTCCATAACCTGTTGAGAATTTGAAGCCCAGGAGCAAATCTCAAATCCGCCAGCTACATGAACTTTGATGGAATCATTCACAAGCCTCGACGCCATCGTTTTGAAAATGAATGATGGACCTTAACTACCCTGGGATGATCCTGCCCAAATTCTTCTGCACCACTTCTTTCTTTGACGTAAAGTCCGGTGGCTTCAAAAGGTTTCACAAGGCTTTGCAAGGGTTCACAAGGTTTTAAAAGACTTCACAAGGCTTCACAAGGCTTCACAACGTTTCACAAGGCTTCACAAGGCTTCACAATGCTTTATAATGCTTCACAAGGCTTCATAATGCTTCAGAAGGTTTCAAAAGGCTTCAGAATGATTCACAAGGTTTCACAGGCTTCACAATGCTTCACAAGCCTTCACAAGGCTTTACAAGGCTTCACCAGGCTTGCTTCACAATGCTTTATAATGCTTCACAAGGCTTCATAATGCTTCAGAAGGCTTCAGAAGGATTCAAAAGGATTCACAAGGTTTCACAAGGCTTCACAATGCTTCGCAAGCCTTCACAAGGCTTTACAAGGCTTCAACAGGCTTCACAATGCTTTACCAGGCTTCACAAGGCTTCACAATGCTTCATAAGCCTTCACAAGGCTTTAAAAGGTTTCACCAGGCTTCACAATGCTTCATAACGCTTCAGTAGGCTTCACTTCACACGGCTATATAAGGGTTCACAAGGTTTCAAAAGACTTCACAATGCTTCACAAGCCTTCACAATGCTTTACAAGGCTTCACCAGGCTTCACAATGATTTATAATGCATCACTAGGATTCAAAAAGCTTCACAAGGCTTCATAATGCTTGAAAAGGCTTCGCAAGACTTCACAAGGCTTCACAAGGCATCACAATGCTTCATAATGCTTCAGAAGGTTTGACAAGGCCCACAAGACTTCACAAGGCTTCACCAGGCTCGCTTCACAATGCTTTATAATGCTTCACAAGGCTTCTCAAGGCTTCATAATGCTTCAGAAGGCTTCATAATGCTTCAGAAGGCTTCAGAAGGATTCAAAAGGATTCACAAGGTTTCACCAGGATTCACAATGCTTCATAATGCTTCAGTAGACTTCACACGGCTATATAAGGGTTCACAAGGTTTCAAAAGACTTCACAATCCTTCACAAGCCTTCATAATGCTTTACAAGGCTTCACCAGGCTTCACAATGATTTATAATGCATCACAAGGATTCAAAAAGCTTCACAACGCTTCATAATGCTTGAAAAGGCTTCGCAAGGCTTCGCAAGGCTTCGCAAGGCTTCGCAAGGCTTCACAAGGCATCACAATGCTTCATAATGCTTCAGAAGGTTTGACAAGGCCCACAAGGCTTCACAAGACTTCACCAGGCTTCATAATGCTTCAGAAGGCTTCAGAAGGATTCAAAAAGATTCACAAGGTTTCACCAGGATTCACAATGCTTCATAATGCTTCAGTAGGCTTCACACGGCTATATAAGGGTTCACAAGGTTTCAAAAGACTTCACAATGCTTCACAAGCCTTCACAATGCTTTACAAGGCTTCACAATGCTTTATAATGCATCACAAGGATTCAAAAAGCTTCACAAGGCTTCATAATGCTTGAAAAGGCATCACAAGGCTTCTCAAGGCTTCATAATGCTTCAGAAGGCTTCAGAAGGATTCAAAAGGATTCACAAGGCTTCACAATGCTTCGCAAGCCTTCACAAGGCTTTACAAGGCTTCACCAGGCTTCACAATGCGTTACCAGGCTTCGCAAGGCTTCACAATGCTTCATAAGCCTTCACAAGGCTTTAAAAGGTTTCACCAGGCTTCACAATGCTTCATAATGCTTCAGTAGGCTTCACACGGCTTTATAAGGGTTCACAAGGTTTCAAAAGACTTCACAATGCTTCACAAGCCTTCACAATGCTTTACAAGGCTTCACCAGGCTTCACAATGCTTTATAATGCTTCACAAGGATTCAAAAAGCTTCACAAGGCTTCATAATGCTTGAAAAGGCTTCGCAAGGCTTCACAAGGCTTCACCAGGCTTCATAATGTTTCAGAAGGCTTCATAATGCTTTAGAAAGCTTCATAATGCTTCAGAAGTATTCAAAAGGATTCAAAAAGCTTCACAAGGCTTCACAAGGTTTCAGAAGGCTTCACAATATTTCACAAGGCTTCACAAGGCTTCAGAAGGCATCACAAGGCTTCACAAGGTTTCACCAGGATTTACAAGGCTTCAGAAGGCTTCACAAGATTTCCCAAGGCTTCACAAGGCTTCACCAAGACTCCAAGGCTCTACGATTACAAGGATTCAAGGCTTCACAAGGATTTACAAGGCTTCATAATGCTTCAGAAGGTTTCAAAAAGTTTTACAAGGCATCACAAGCCTTCACAAGGATTCACAAGGCTTTATAATGCTTCAGAAAGCTTCACAAGGCTTGACAAGGCTTCACAAAGTTTTACAAGGCTTCACAATGCTTTACAATGCTTCAAAAGGCTTCACATGGCTTCATAATGCTTCAGAAGACTTTTAAAAGCTTCAGAAGGATTCACCAAGATTCAAAAAGCTTCACAAGGCTTCACAAGGTTTCATCAGGATTTACAGGGCTTCAGAAGGCTTCACAGGGCTTCAGAAGGCTTCAGAAGATTTGACAAGGCTTCACCAAGACTCCAAGGTTCTGAGATTACAAGGCATCACAAGGATTCACAAGGCTTTATAATGCTTCAGAAAGCTTCAGAAGTCTTTACAAGGCTTGACAAGGCTTCACAATGCTTTACAATGCTTCAAAAGGCTTCACAAGGCTTCACGAAACTTTTTTTTAATTTTGTTTTAGATGATACAAGGTGAATTTATTAGAGGACGATTTTCTGTTCAAAGTTTCAAAAAGATAATAGTTTCCTAATGAATATGGCGGTTTATGATTTTATGAGTTACTGCGTAATGCCCGGTTTGGAAAAGTTACTGGCTACAGTCTGTCGGGCGTTAGCTAGCGATAATACAATTTAATGGGGTTTACGTCACCAAAACAGCTCAGTTAGCATGACGTAGAATAAAAAGTGTTTGTGTTAGTTTCGATGAATTCGATTCGTTCATGGTAAAAAATGTCCGAGTTAACCTATTAGCGCCATTTTGTGGGTGGTCATGTCAATTTGGAAAGAGTAGTGAGGATGCGTATTTCGAAAAGCGTCCTCATACAACACGATTTATGCCGAACTCGCCTTCGGCTCGCTCGGCATTGGTGTAGCCTTTTATTAACCTTTTAATATACATAATAAATATGTACAAGGTGTCCACTACAGTTTTCTCCTTTTTTTATATCGGGAGACCAGATCTTATTCGCACTGCAGGAGGTGTTTTTATTTTCGTTTTAAATTCAGAATCTCTATCAGGAGAATATCGACCGTGAGGTGGTCCAATAAGAGGAGCACTTCCTGTAAAAGATTTGTAACTCTTTGTATCAGGAGAATATAATATGTGAAGATGTAATTCGGCTTTTAAATGTCGTGCATGCTCCTTCTCTTCTAGGAAAACGTACCAAACGAGATTTTTGCATTAGGAAAACATAATACAATACGGGTAAATATTTATGCTCCTAAAAAGAAGTATTACTTAGTGTTTGTAATTGTCCTTTGCCTACCAGGAGAACATACGAGGGTTCTTTTCGCATTCCGTGTAAATGAAATGTGCGAGATGGCATATCTCCTTCTAGCATAAAAGGTATTCTTCGGAGATGTGTTCTTGAGCTGCCAGGACAACATACGTAGGTAATCAAAACGCAAATAAAGCAAAGAGCACTTGGAGAAGAGCTGTTTAAAGACTTTGCCGTCACATAGATATATGAAATTAATCCAGCAGGTGGATATAATATGCGAGGAGGTACTTGGACAGAAATGCTGTCTTCGCACTCCTAGAGGAATGTTTTAAAACCCTAATGTAGCTTAAATTTTCTAGATCGCCCTATCACGAGAATATATTTTGTAAGGAGGCACTTATTCTTGTTATAAAGAAAGATAAATGTTCCTTATTTACCAGGAGAGCATTACAAACCGCGAGTTTTTTTTCGTACATCTAGAGGGGTGGTTCAAAGTCGTTTTAAATTAAATCGTCGAGTTTTTCGTGTCATTATAAGGAAGTGCGCAGAGAGGTATTTTTGCTCTTGCCTACCAGGATAACATTATAAACGATTACTTCAAAACGGGTGTTTCGAAAGAGTTTTAACATACCTCTATAAAGTTCTTTGGCTACCAGGCAACAATGGAGGAGGTCTTTTTCACAGATTGCACACTTCAGGAGAGTGCTCTGGATCCGTCGAAACCCTTGTGTCTAGAAAATTAATATTTTTAAAAGACTTGCGGAGCCTTCCACTAACCTCTAACGGTGGCGTGCGTTCAATGATTTTTCCGGTCCGTTCGCCTGTTTGGCAGGTGATGCCGATCTACTCCTTTTTTACTTTGTGCATATGGTTCAAATTCCCGTGTTTTTACAAGACAAATCGACCTTTTTTGAAGTTTATAAGCGTTTTCGTTTGACACAAGAAACAAGATGGCGTTTATTGACAGCTGACGTGAAACCATACGAACCTATCAACGGTCGTACGTTTATGTTAGAAAGAGAGAAGCACATTCAACTACTGAACGCACTGCAGAAGATTTAAAAAAGTCTCCAAGAGGAGTTTAGGAACTACCTACCTATCAACACTTGGTCTTTAGCATTTAAGATACTTGGTGTGGCAGAGTGTTTGGAAAAAGGCAAACTTTGAGGAGTCTTTAGACCCATTAAGGAACTTTCAAGTTCTCCAGACTCCCTGAGGCACCCTTTGGAGTCCCTTAGAATTCGGATTCGGTCTAGAAGAGTCTCATTGTGAAAGGCATCAGACCGTTTTTAGTGTTTAAAAACCTTTAAAGGTCTTGAAGAACCTTTATGTTGATGTTTCTTAAACCCTTATGAAGTGTATTGTGTAAGGAATTGTACGGGTGAATTTGGGGGGTGGGGAGGGGGGTATAGAATACCTCCCCAGCAGACGACAGTTTTATTTTCATCTCCAAAAAGACCACTATGGGAGTACGTAGACTTATAGAGAAAGGGTTGTGGAGTCTGTCCTTGTTTGGTGGTTTTAAACCCTCGGTATCCCACACCACCCAGACCCCCCGGTGGTACGATGCTGGCATTACTTTTTAAGAGAAGGGGCGACAGTTTCACTGCCATCTCCAAGCAACCACCATGAGAATACAAAGACCTATAGGGAATGCGTTGTCTTTGTTGGGTGGTTTTAAACACTCATCTCTCTTTGGGGAAGGGAGTATTCCATATGCATGTTAATTATTCGAAGTACATCCGTTTTGTATGTGGAAGTACGCCTACAAATTAAGATAGATAGATAAAGAACTTCACATACCAACAAATATGAACCTTGGCCTAGGGGAATTTTCTACAAAATCGCACACTATGGTCATCGACGCCGCATGGAACTAATACCGACCAGAAGGTATTGTGACTTTTGTTATTTTATTGTAATCCAAAAAACGTCATGGGTACTATAGAACTTTATAGTTACTGTTCAATAACGTGCTAATTAACTGGTTGCATTAAAAAGAACAACCCCTAATTTTCTGTGGATTTTAACTGGTGGAGCTTAATTGCTGAATTAGTTCAATACTATTAAATTTTCCGGTGCTATGACCTTTGCACTACTTCTTAGGAGAAGCGAATTTGATAATTCTTTCTCAAAAACATCATGAGAGTTCTGATAGTTAACCGTATTGTGTAGGGAATTGTTACCGGGGGGTCTGGGGAGTATGGACGACAGTTTTACTGCCAATCAACAAGCGACCATCGTGAGAGTACAGAGACCTATAGGGAATGAGTCGTGGAGTTTGTCTTTGTTGGGTGGTTTCAACCCTCGTCTTCCTTTTGCTCGGTGGTATTCCATACGCATGTCAATTATTCGAGGTGCATCCGTTTTCTATTTGGAAGGACCCTTACAAGAACTTTCGAGGTAAATGAAATTCCTTTGTGATCGTAAGAATAATACGTTCGGAGGAGTTTGTACAAATTATTATGGGTAGTTACGGAATTAAAAAACCAAAAAAAAACATGTTCCGAGACAGCACGCGTATTCAAGAACTTTAATTGACATCGGAAGTTTGAATTTATCTATGGAGATCTTTGACCTGGTGGATGTCTGAGACAGTTGACCGCATGGATTTAGGATTTACTTAACTGTCAACTCCCCGCAAATAAATATAACTTCATATACCAACAAAAACAAACCTTGTCCTAGGGGAATTTTCGACAAAATCGAACACTATGGTAATCGACGCCGTATCGAACTACTACCGACCGGGTTGTATTGCATGTAGAAAGAGGCTTAAGCTAATTGTCAATTAGAAGATTTCCTGTATGTTTGATTAGTTGAATTGGATTTTTTTTCGGATACTGAAACGCTGAATCTGTTACATAAAATGAGCAGTTTATTTATTGGGGAAATGTACAGATGACTACTAACTAATTCCGAGTGCTACAGTATAATTGTGCCAAGCCTGTGCACTATGTACAAAGGTAACAGTACGTAAGCAGAGACGACGAAATACTGAAGGATCTTCAGAAGGCGAGATCTCGTCCTGGCTCTCCCCACCGTTGACAGGTCGTCCTTTAGAATATACAGTCGCACCCCTTTCGTAATCCTATCTGAGAACGTCTGCCAGTCAATCGAGTTGATATCGAAGCAGAAGACGTCCCGGTCCTCTTCCTCCAGTAAATTCCAGAGGTTCTGCGTGTTGTCATCTTTGAAGTACCACTCCTTGCAAGAGGCGAACTCGACGACCTTACAAAACTCCCTTATCTTCCTGTGCGTCTTTAGGGTACTGTAAATTGAGGCTTAGACTGACTGCGTAGTCAAGAGCGGTGACTTACATGTGTACTTTTCCTAGGAAGAAGCTCTTCAGGTTTACTATGTACATCAAGGGAAGGTAAAATAGCTCGACTAGGTCTAGCATCTTCTTGTTAGTGCCGTAGAGGACGTAGCGGTGGAATATCTTCCGATTCGATGGAAGGGCGGATTCGCTTCGCTCCAGTACGTCCTTCTGCAGGCCCCAGGTGATTGGATTTCGTGGACCGCTGACGAAGTTATAAATCGGAATCTTCGACATTCTCGACCTGAAAGGTGCCGACTGAGCGATCGGTGAAGTGATCTCGCGCGACTTACCACTCCCTTCCCACCGCCCAACCGGCCGCGATCGCTTGGTTCACGCAGAAATCGACGGGGACCAGATCGACCACGTGCTTCGGATCGCAGCACATCGTGTGCACGACGCCGACGTTGATCGTCGCGACGAGAAGCGACGTGAGATCGTAGGATGACGCCCAGCCCGTTGTCGGTTCGCGATACGGCGCGATCACTATGGACGGACGCACGATTACCATCGGCAAACCCGTACCCTTCTTCCTCACCAGATCTTCGGCGATGTTCTTCGTAAAACTGTACGTATTGGGCCATTTGCCTAGAATACTGAAAAAGAATTATGCACGCGCATTTACCGTCGCGCCTCTTACGTTGGAGTCATTTCGTTCAATTTCTCGTTGCTGATCGTGTTCGCCATGGTTATCAGGTCGGTGTAATTCTCCTCGGGTACGTAGAAGGCTTCGTCTGCTATGTCGCGTATGCATTGCGAATACGCTGTGGAGACGTGCACGAAAGACTGTAAAAAAAATTAAAATTCGAGGTGAATACCTCAACCACCCCAATTTTGCAAAGCCAAACCCACGTTTTTCTCTTCGCACAAAGGAACGAAACTTTTAGGTCCGAAGAGATCGTGACAACCGCGCTCGCTCTTGATATGACATGATATCGCCAGACATATTTTCGTTCAGGTTCGCTACGAAGCGGTACATGTGCAAATTTTCCTGTCTACCGAAATATAAATTCGAAAAACTACAAAAATGTTAAATGAGAATACCTGGAGAACGAAAATTTTCAAAAGACTTTTTAGTCGTTTTCCTTATTCGATGCCTAGGCAAAAGGTTAGGGTGTCAAACAGTATCCCCAGGTCAGGTAAGACCAAGCGGTAGGTTCGGTATCATTTTTTATTTCCAAAAACTACGCAATGCGCAAGGCAAAGTTGATCCATGCGGAGAGGGGCAGAGGGGGGGGGGGGGTATTATACTCATAAAAATAAAAGCCTTATTTTTACGGTTTTTAAATAGTAAGCCATGGATTCATGTAGATACTGTTTTAGATATTGTACGGTCATTAAAAAAATTTGATGTACATGGTGGCCAACTAAGAATGCGAGGTACTGTATCTGAGAATCTATCCATCGTAGAGACTTGCGGTAAAAAAATTTATTACTAAAACAGCCAGGAACAAAACCCGGAAAATATTTTTAAGTTTCTGAAATGACCGCTAGGGGGCGTAACTGCAATCTGGAATCTAAAAAAGTTATTTTTCTGTGAATTCCGCTATATTAACCTAACAAAAAAATGTCCGGTCTTTGAAGTTGACGATAATTTGAACAATTTTTTTTCCTTTTTTAAATCGATCTACCTTAGGGCCACAAATTATATAATAAAAATAATTCCGGAAAAATTAGCTTAAAAAAATAAAATTTTGAGGGTATAAAATTTTCTTTGGCCTAAATTTTAGGTTAGGAACAAGATATCGAGATGCGGTTTTCGCGAGTTTGTTTAGGCATGATTTAGCTACTTTTTCATGAAAAAAAAATCAAACCAACGCATTTAATTTTTTTGAGAAAATTAACCATTTCTGTCGGAATGTCGAAAAAAGCCCTCAAGCGGCGATATGTGAAACTAACAAAACTTCAAATTAACACGAGTTTGTTAAAATCGGCTCAGTCGTTTCGAAGATACAGGGTGTTATTTACGGAAACCTTTGAATACCCCCCACCACTTCATTTTTAGAGATACAGGAAAAATTGTCAAACAAAAATTGTTCAGATTATCGTCAACTGCAAAGACCGGGCATTTTTTTGTTAGGTTAATATAGCGGAATTCACAGAAACATCACTTTTTTAGATTCTAGATATAGAAAGTACCGCAATCATCCGCCATTTTTGGGCAAATTTGCTGCCAACTTAAAAAAATTGACAAATAAAATCTGAATAGTTGTAATTTTTTATAACCTAACTTCATAGTACTGTCATGTTTTAGATATCTCCAAACAGGTGGAACAATCCCTAACATTAAAGTTACTAGAATCTGGTAACTTCCGCCATTTTTGGGCAAAAATCATGCGTTCTCTCTCTAACACACGAGCCCAATGGATTGCGGTACTTTCTATATTTAGTGACTTTAGATTCCAGATTGCAGTTACGCCCCCTAGCGGCCATTGCAATAATTTAAAAATATTTTCCAGGTTTTTCTCGTGGCCGTTTTAGTAATAAATTTTTTTACCGCAAGCCTCTACGATGGACAGGTTCCGAGATACAGTACCGCGCATTCTTATTCGGCCACCCTGTATATAAAAATATTTGTAATGATAAATCAATTTAATCAAGAAAAAATGTATATACAGGATGTTGCATTTAAAAAATACCAACTTTGGTCAAATCTTAGAACAAGTGGCCCAAAAATTTTTTTTTACTTTACCACTAGCTTCTGTGTAAAAATATGTAAACTAATCAGTTTTTTACCAAACATGAGTAGCAAGACATGATAACATCTCAAAAAGTCAAACTTTTAGTTTTCACCCTGTATCAAAATCGGTTTCATTTCGTGGTTTCTTATTTTGCCGGTAGAGGTCACACATAGTATCATTTTTTTTAAATGTCCCCTCCTATTACATTTGCTATTGTTGCGCAGAACGATCCCGTTTACCTTTAGAAAAAGGCAAGTTCGTTAAGGGTAACCTTTAACTAGGCACTAGAAAATATGAAAACTCAAATTCGGGATCAACTTGCCTTGTTTGCTTGGGCAACATAATTCATTGGCTATTTCAGTAACTCACACTCAAATGCCTACCTTAAGATCTTCAATCTTCTTCGCGATCTCTATGAGACTATCTGTCCCACCGATGTTGATCAAAATGGCACGCCTGAGCTCCTCGGTAAACTTGACGGTCGCCCCGACATGAAAAATACAATTAACCTCTTTGACGATCTTCTCCTCGTCCACCTCGCTCAACCCCAGCCTCGGAAGCTCGAGATCGCCGGTGATGACCGCCAGCTTCTTCAAAACGCTCGGATTGCTCTGCTTCAAGCCGTTGTGGATCTGGGGAGATTACTTTGAACGCGACCGACGCGAGCACCGCTTACCGCATCGCTCAGGAACTCCTCGAGACGACTTTCGCTATCTTTGCGACGCTTCGAGCGGATCAGCAGATAAATTCGTCTAACGTCGGGGCACGAACGTAGCAGTTTCTCGACGAGGTAGCTGCCGACGAAGCCCGTCGCTCCGGTGATCAAAATCGTCTTGTCGGCGTAGTAGCTCTGTATGCTCGTGGAACGCTCCATTGTCGGCTGCCACTGAAACCAATTAAAAAAATTATGCGGCTCGAAGGACCAATATCTTGAAACGCTCGCTTTATACGTATGAACCGGTAACCTCACGTTTCCAGTAGTATTATCGAAGCTTTTTTAAATAAAAGTATTTTTACATAAGGTCTTGTTAGTAGTGTAACGGTAACTCTTAATTCGGATTTAGCTTTTATGAATGTTTATAGAGGTAGGTAAAGTTGGGATTGTTGAGATTTTAAGGATTAGAGTGATTTACGCATCAAACATCATAGAAAGTCTACAGGGTGGTATTTTCGTTTTTTGATATGTCAGTCATAAGTGGCCTAAAAATGGCTTTCGGAAATCGTTAACGCATGAGTTCATCTCTGGATCGTGAGAAATGAAACGTGGCATATTTGAACGTTGATTTATTACCCTAGCTTTCATTAATAATTTGTGGTGCAGAGACGAACCACTGATTAAAGTTGTCCGTTGTCGTTAATAAGGCGCCATTTTGTAGGCGTCAATTAATTAAGTACTAATAGAAAGGGGTTAGTCTGCGAAGTTTTTGCCCTTTTATATCTAAAAATAAGCGTACCAAATTTGGTTCCAATCGATTCGGCCGTTTAGCCGGAAATGAGAGTACAGACGGACCGATAGACCGACAGACCGCCATCGTCGAGATTGTGTTTGATTCGGATTACTGGTGCTTCAAAACGTTTAAGTCGATGAGTCGCCAACTTGTCGTTTCGCGTTTGGGTAAACAATATACCCTAAGTTGTGTTTTTCCGCACACCTGTGGCCATTCGGTTATGGTCGGACTTTTTCGAGGCTGTGATTTTCTGCTATTTCGCAATTTTCAAGCTATGGAGTTAAAAATTTCAGGGTAGTCAGGTGTATGTTGATCTCTAGAAACTATTGTTCGTCAGTGTGAGCGAAAATTAAATTCGGCATATACAGGGTGTTTTCGAAAAAATGGGTTTTATTGATGTGAGGAGAAATGTTAACGGCGTAAATTAACTCTGGCAGGCGTTTGTCGTTTTTTACCTCAGCCTCTGAGTTTTTTACGGTTTTAGCGTGGGTACTTATGAATTCGTAAAAGCGAATACATAATTTGATGTTGGGAAATATGTTTTTATGTAATTTATTTTGTTAATTTCTGTATAAGTAAACATTACAAAAAATATGAAACATTCAATTCTGAGTGTGGTTGATCAAAATAATACGTACTTAATAAAGAAGAACCAAGTTCGTGCTCGATGTTGGCGCAATTAGGGTCGAGGCGGTTTAGGATATTTACTTTGATATACTTAAACTATGGGAGGCAATAAAGTGCTCATTTGAATACTTAATTAGCAAAGAAGTGAACAAAAAGTGTTATTCCAAATTTATACTTATTTTCGGTCAAGTCATAAAATGAAATAATAATCAAATAATCGACCCCATTGGCGCATTTCACCAGATGGCGTTACTTGGTATCGAACTCAAAATTGAACAAAAAATCACAAAAAGGTTCGATTAGATATTTTTGTTTTACTGTTGCAAGTTCAACAGCCACAAGTACCTAGTTCCAGTGCTTCCAGGAATACGAGTAACTCCCCTATAAGGGCTCTGCCGCTTAATAATTTAATAGCGAACAGTGCTCACCGTTAATTGAATACAAACATCGTGCCCCATACTTGATTAAATGAAAATAAAAGTCCATCTTACGCTTAACATTGAATAAAATTTTTATTCAATGACCTTAATTAATACAACAATAATAGATACAATAAACAAACTCATAAAATTCAGTGTAATAACACTAGGTATCAATAGTGACAATAATTCATCAATAACGGTCCTCATAAAGTAAACTTCGGAATCACAAGCGTCACAAGATTTGACATTGTATACAGTGCGTCTACATAAGTTGTTAACGAAAAAAGTGCTGCTCTAAATGCACCATTTACTTTTTCTTTAAAATTCGTGGTTTTTAAATAAATTGAAAAATAAGTATACGGGGTCAGACAAAAAGTTCTCAGACCTAACCTCATTCTTTTAAATAGAACACCCTGTATATTTTAATCTAAAAAGATAGCGTATTAAATTCTCTTCAAAGCTGTAACACTAAAAAATCAAAAAATACATTGAACACAAAACATTCAAAAAAATTGGCATTGTTATCATTTGAACCTTTTTTAACATTTTTTTAAATCTTTCTTTTAGTTTTTTTTAAATTCTTTTAGAATTCCTTTTAATATAATCCTTGTGTTGTATTTTTGAAAAAAATCTAATATTCTATCCTTTAGATTACAATATATGGGGAATTCTATTTAAAAAAAATGAGGTTAGGTCCTGTAACTTTTTTGTCTGATCCCGTATACTTATTTTGAAAACGTCGGCTTATTCAGCAATCATTGACAACTTTTTGATTTTTCCCCGTATCTCATAAGCGAGCGAGTATTGTCAAATTTTGACTTCGCCATTTTAAGTTTGACCTAAAAAGAGACGCCTGTATTACCTCGATAGCACTAACAATTATGAAGATACCATATAAAAGTGTCGAAAATGAGACACCCTGTATTTGTGTTGTCAGAACCTTTAGAACTATTGAAAGTCTCGAATCTCATATTTCTTGAAGGGTTGGACCCTTGAAGCTCCACAGATTTCTTGCAGCCCTTGGACCTCTCGAATTCATAGAGCATTTTATGCTCCTGAAATTGTCTAGCATTTTAAAGTTCCTTAAAATCACGAAACTACTACAGCTCCTGAAACTTTTGAAGCTGTAGTAGTTCTTGATGCTTTTGAAACCCATGCACCTGATTGACCTTTTAAGCTTTTTTAATCTCGTAAAGTTGTTGAAACTTTTAAGCTTCTGGAAGCTCTAGAGTCTAGAAGTTCATAAAGCTATTGAAGGCCATGGAGTATTTTGAAGCTATTGAATCTCTCGAGTTTATTGAGATTACAAGAATCGCTGAGCGCCCTACGGCACTTGAAGCTTTTAAGATTTTCGTGAAGCTCCTGGGGCACTTGGAGTTCTTGGATTGCTTGATGTTCTGCAATCCCTTAAGTCTTGAAGATTATTAGAGCACACGAAGATAACGAAGCCTTTAAAAGTTCGTAAAGCTCTGAAATTTCGTGTTTATTTTGAAACTCTTGAAGTGCCTTCGAGCTCTAAAAGTGTTCGAAGCCCTGGAGGTCCTGAAGGTCTTGAAGGTTTTGAAGGTCTTGAAGATCTTGAAGGTCTCGAAGGGATCGAAGGTCTCGAAAGCCTCGAGGGCCTCGAGGATTTTGAGGATTTTGAGAGTCTTGAGGGTCTTGAGAGTCTTGAGGGTCTTGAGAGTCTTGAGGGTCTTGAGGGTCTTGAAGTTCTTGAAGTTCCTGAAGTTCCTGAAGTTTTTAAAGTTACTGAGGTTCATGAGTTTCTTGGGGTGACACTCTTTAAGTTCTTCAAGTTCTTCAAGTTCTTCAAGTTCTTCAAGTTCTTCAAGTTCTTCAAGTTCTTCAAGTTCTTCAAGTTCTTCAAGTTCTTCAAGTTCTTCAAGTTCAAGTTCGTCAAGTTCTTCATGTTTTTGAAGCAATTGAATTTCTCTGGTTTATTGAGATTGCAAGAAACTATGAGCGCCCTACGGCACTTGAAGCCTTTAAGTTTTTCGTGAAGTTCCTGGGGCACTTGGATTCCTTCGATTGCTTGATGTTCTGCAATCCTTTGGGTCTTGAAGCTCTTGAAATCCTTTAGGCACACGGAGATAACGAAGCCTTTAAAAGTAAAGCTTTGAAACTTCGTACTAATTTTGAAACTCTTGAAGTGCTTTCGAGCTCTAAAGGTGTTCAAAGCCCTCGAAGCCCTGGAAGGTCTTGAACGTTTTGAAGGTCTTGAAGGTCTTGGAGGTCTTGAAGGTCTTGAAGGTCTTGAAGGTCTTGAAGATCTTGATGGTCTTGAAGATCTTGAAGGTCTTGAAGGTCTTGAAGGTCTTGAAGGTTTTGAAGGTCTTCAAGGTCTTGAAGGTCTCGAAAATCTCGAAGGTCTCGAAGGTCTCGAAGGTCTTGAAGGATTTGAAGGTCTTAAAGGTCTTGATGGTCTTGAAGGGCTTGAAGGTCTTGCAGGTTCTGAAAATCTTAAGGTCTCGTAGGCCTCGAAGGTCTCGAAGATCTCGAAGGTCTTGGAGATCTTGAAGGTCTTGAAAGACTTGAAGGTCTTGAAGGTCTTAAAGGTCTTGATGGTCTTGAAGAGCTTGAAGGTCTTGAAAGCCTTGTTGGTCTTGAAAGTCTTGAAGGTATTAAAAGTCTTAAAGGTCTTGAAGTTGTTGAAGTTGTTGAAGTTGTTGAAGTTGTTGAAGTTGTTGAAGTTGTTGAAGTTGTTGAAGTTGTTGAAGTTGTTGAAGTTGTTGAAGTTGTTGAAGTTCTGGAAGTTCTTGAAGTTCATGAAGCTCCTGAAGTTCCAAAATTTCCTTAAGTACCTGAAGTTCTTAATGTTCTTCAAGTTCTTCCAGTCTTTCAAGTTCTTCAACTTTAAGTTCTTCAAGTTTGTCACGTTCTTCATGTTTTTGAAGCAATTGAATCTCTCTAGTTTATTGAGGTTACAAGAATCCTTGAGCGCCCTACGGCACTTGAAGCCTTTAAGTTTTTCGTGAAGTTCCTGGGGCACTTGGAGTTCTTGGATTACTTGATGTTCTGCAACCTTTTGAGTCGGGAAGCTCTTCTTAAGGCACACGAAGATAACGAGGCCTTTAAAATTTCGTAAAGCTTTGAAATTTCGTGCTAATTTTGCAACTCTTGAAGTGCCTTCGAGCTCTAAAACTGTTCGAAACCCTGGAAGGTCTTAGTGGTCTTGAAGGTTTTGAACGTTTGAAGTTCTTGAAGGTCTTGAATGTCTTGAAGATCTTGAACATCTTGAAGGTCTTGAAGGTCTTTAAGGTCTTGACTCTTGAAGGTCTTGAAGGTCTTGAAGGTCTTGAAGATCTTGAAGATCTTGAAAGTCTTGAAGGTCTTGAAGGTCTTGAAGGTCTTGAAGGTCTTGAATGTCTCAAAGGTCTTGAAGGTGTTTTCAATCTGAAAGACCTTGAAGGTCTTGATGGTTTTCAAGGTCTTGAAGGTCTTAAGGTCTTGATGGTCTTGGAGGTTTTAGTCTGAAAGGTCTTGAAGGTGTTTTCGGTCTAAAAGTTCTTGAAGGTCTTGATGGTTTTGAAGGTCTTGAAGGTCTTAAAGTTCCTGAAGTTCTTGAAGTTCCTGAAGTTACTGAGGTTCTTGAGTTTCTTGAGGTTTTTGAGGTTCTTCAAGTTCTTCAATTTCTTGAAGTTCGTGAAGCTTTTAAAGCGCAATGGAGTTCTTGAAGATCTTCGAGTACCTTGTAGTTCTTAAATTCGAAGCTTTTGATTGTGTCGCAGCTTTCGAATGTTCTGAAATTCTCAAAGATATCGAATTCTTTAACGTTTCTGCAGCTGTAGAAGCACTTGAACGGTATTTCATTGTTGTCATTTAACAGAACACCCTGTATATTTTAATCTAAAAACCTAGCGTATTAGATTTTCTTTAAAAAAATACTACAAAATTAAACAATTTAAAATTCTGTTTACAATTTTGCTGTATTGTTTGAATCATTTGAACTTTTTTTAAATTTGTTAAAATCTTTTTTTAATTTTTTTACATTAAAAAACAGGCCTGTTCCACTCTTGCTTTCAGCAATTTGGCTGCTAAAAACAGGCTGCTACTTTCACACAGACGTTATCTTTCCATTTGGGAAGAACAAATGGTGACGGTTTTGATTTTGGAAGAAAGCGTTAGGCCTAAATTAGCCACTGAATGGGAGTCAAAATTCGTAGCATAAGTTTCGTTCAACTTTAACGTAATAAGCGCACTAATTGGACTAATGTCTTACAACAAATGGGAATAGTGAATAGAAAAAAGGGATACATATTGATATTCGTAGTGAAAATCTAGGCCTATGGTAATGTAAGCAAATGAAAAAGAAAATTACGTACCATTCAACTCATCCAAAAGAGAAGTTTCTTTCTTTTTGGCCACTTTTACGTGAACATATACGTTCTACGTGCTCGACAATGGATCTTCGTCGGCGCCGCACAAATAATTACCGTATTAAGTCTCTAATTAGAATGTACCTACATAAAATGGAAAGTACGCTAGATCTAACGTCACGCAAATCCCCGATAATCTACTTAATGGCTGTGTGACAGTGATGGAATATGGACGCACGCAGTCTGCCAGTGGCTAAAAATGCCGCTAAGAAAGTGCCAGTGCACAGGAACTAAAGAAGTTGCCCGGGAAAGCTACTATAGGTCAGATTTGCCGTTTCAAACGGACACATATCTTTAATCTCTGTCAATTTCTTATATACAACGACGAATAAGTTAGCATTACACCAACGTCGGGTGAAACAAAAGAATGGATATTCGCGCCAATTTTCATTGCCTGTTGACGATTCTAACCAGACACCGCAAGAACCTAAAAAAACACAGAGAACCTAAACAACCGCCAGACCTCCACGGCTATTAGTTGCTCCAAATCTCAAATGAAACTCTGAAATACTTTTAGGATTCTTAGCGGTAAATCGATCCAAGTAGAAGGGCTCTTTACGGTTCTCACAAATTTTTAAAATCGTTTAACGTTCTGAAATAGTTTTGACACCCTTAAAATGCTCTTAAACTCTCTTAAGGGCTGATAAATGACTATTAAAGTCACGTTCGCTTGGAATTTTTTTTGCTCAGATATGAAATCGTACGCGTGAACCCTTAAATGTTTATAAACATTCCTTGATGACCTAAGGTTTGGAACCCAAACACTCAAAAATTTAGAAATACTCTTAAAGGCTCAAATGATTATGAAGGTAGCTGACGAGGATTTTTAAAAACCCTGCAAAGCTCTTAAAAGCTCTCAAAAACTCACAAGAGCTCTCAGAAGCTCTCTGCTGTTAAAGAGAGGAGATCTTAAGGGCCCGAAAATGAACCATTAAGGAACCTTTAGTGTCTTTGCAAGGTAACAATCTACCCGTGACTTTATTTATGGAGCGTGTAAACGCTTCTTTACAAATTCACCACATTGTCGATCACTAGATGGCGCTAACTAACCATAACAAATGATAACAAAATGTCATTTCCACTTCCTAGTCTTACCAGTAATCATGGCTGTGTAAAAGGAGGATCCCTTGACTTCACCAGTCACTTGCTGACCTGAAAGCCTGCTATCCCAAACCTGAAAGCTGATAAACCGTTCATCCGATTTCCCTTTATTCATTTAATACTGTTTTCCGTTTACCCCGTTCATCCTGTATCATTCGACCACCTATCCCTGCTCGGGCGCCAATTCTGTAAGGGTTGTTGGTGGGTAGTTGCAGTCGTGCCTCAAGGTCGCTAAATAAAATGTATGCACACACAACTTTCATTTATTTCGTACACCTTGTATATGTAAATACCACCGAATATACACCATAACCAGGGCTACCAACCCAATTGTATTTCTATATTGTATGGAATGTACATATACAAGGTGTACGAAATAAATGAAAGTTCTTAAGGGTGTTAAAAACTAAAATCCTTCAGAGCTCGTAACAGACTTTTGAAGTCCATACGATGACATTTGCCCTAAAATTTTTCAAAAATGATCATTAGAGCACGGAAAGCTTTGAAAATATTAGGGGAAACGAACACCGAGTGGTTTGTGGAGTATGGAATACCCCCAGCAAAGGAAAGCTCTTTTCCTGAGAGCGTATTCCATCGATTTTTTGGGGGATGTGGGCCGGGGGGTTATTCTATGCTCCCCAGACCATCCGGAAAGGCACTAAACGATTTTTCAAAAGTGCTAAAAGGTATTTTGTTGATGAAGTACACCATTTTATGTTTGAGTTAGATATAGAGAAATTAAAATTGAAAAATGAGACTCAAAATTTTTATTTTTTTTTCAAAATTTTTTTTTTCAAACATTTTTCTTTTCGCCTTTACCAATAAAAAATTTTGAGTCTCAATTTTCAATTTTAATTTCTCTAAAAGGTCATTTTGATAAAATGTTAGGGTTTTTTGAAGCTTTTTGTAACTGGTATTGATCTTTAAGATCTCTACAAAGCGTAATTCTCGTAAAAGGTCTGATAAACCCTTCAACATATTGAATATTAAATACCCTTTAGGTTTCCCAGATCAAAGACCTGCTAGAAGGAAGGCTGTGTAAAACCCTTCACGACTCTTGCAAGGACTTAAAGTTCTAGAAAGTTCCTTAAAGATTACTCAAGATATTAAAGTTCCTAACAACTTCCTGAAACTTTTGGAGTCGAACCGAGACTTTTGACTCTTGGAAAGTCTTGAAAGAGATTTTTAAAAGATTTCAAAAGCCCTAAAAACCTAATGACTTTTGGAAACCTTTAGTAACTGTTCATTAAATCTTTAGATCTTGAAAGGTCGCAAACGGTTTTCAAAATTCTCTTAATGATCTTCAACCCTGACAATTCTCGAAAAAGTTTTTTAAAGTAAGTTCCTAAATTCCACTTGATTCAGTGTAGACTCTTGGAGAGCAAACGTTTAGTAGGCATAAAGGCTTTTAAGGTTTATTAAATATTTTAAAAACTTTTGAAGGCACTTAAGAATTAATAAGTGCTCTTAAAGCGTTTACAGGCTGAGGACATTTTGAGGCCGTTCCGGGCCTTAGAAAGTTCGTAAGAGACTCTTTATGTACCAAAGACCTTGTGAAGCCTTTTACAAATCACTGGGGGCTTCTGGAGACCCTTCGAGATCGAATCCGGACCATAAGAGTTCTCACAAATCCTCTCAGAGACTTTTAAGAATTGATAAAGGTTTCTTAATGGTTCCTTGGAGGCCATCAAATTTCTTATTTCAAACAAAAACACAATAAAAACACATAAAATTTCAATAACTTGAAGAACTTGAAGAACTGGAAGAACTTGAAGAACTTGAAGAACTTGAAGAACTTGAAGAACTTGAAGAACTTGAAGAACTTGAAGAACTTGAAGAACTCGAAGAACTTGAAGAACTTGAAGAACTTGAAGAACTTGAAGAACTTGAAGAACTTGAAGAACTTGAAGATCTTGAAGAACTTGAAGAACTTGAAGAACTTGAAGAATCTCAAGAACCTCAAGAAACTCAAGAACCTCAGTAACTTCAGGAGCTTCAGGAACTTCAGGAACTTCAGGAACTTCAGGAACTTCAAGACCTTCAAGACCTTCAAGGACTTCAATAACTTCAAGAACTGCAAGAACTTCAACTTGAAAAGCTTGAAGTACTTGCAGGACAGAAGATCCTAAATTCTTGAAGAACTTGCAGAACTTGAAGAACTTCAAGAATTCAACAACTTCAAGAACTTCAAGAACTTCATGAACTTCAAGAACTTCATGAACTTCAAGAACTTCATGAACTTCAAGAACTTCAACAACTGGAAGAACTTGAAGAACTGGAAGAACTTAAAGAACTTGAAGAATCTCAAGAACCTCAAGAAACTCAAGAACCTCAGTAATTTCAGGAACTTCAAGAACTTCAAAAACTTGAAGAACTTCAAGAACTGGAGGAACTTGAAAAACTAGAAGAACTTGATGAACTTGAAGAACTTGAAGAACTTGAAGAACTTTAAGAGCTTGAAGAACTTGAAGAACTTGAAGAACTTGAAAAACTTGAAGAACTTGAAGAACTTGAATAACTTGAAGAACTTGAAGAACTTCAAAAACTTCAAGAGCTTCAAGAACTTCAACAACTTGAGGAACTGCAAGCATTGGAAGAACTTGAAGAACTTCAAAAACTTCAAGAGCTTCAAGAACTTCAAGAACTGGAAGAACTTGAAGAACTTGAGGAACTTGAAAAACTTGAAGAACTTGAAGAACTTGAAGAACTTGAAGAATTTGAAGAACTTGAAGAACTTGAAGAACTTGAAGAACTTGAAGAACTTGAAGAACTTGAAGAACTTGAAGAACTTAAAAAGTTCAAGAGCTTCAAGAACTTCAAGAACTTCAACAACTTCAACAACTTCAACAACTTCAACAACTTCAACAACTTGAGGAACTTCAAGCATTGGAAGAACTTGAAGAACTTCAAAAACTTCAAGAGCTTCAAGAACTTCAAGAACTGGAAGAACTTGAAGAACTTGAGGAACTTGAAGAACTTGAAGAACTTGAAGAACTTGAAGAACTTGAAGAACTTCAAAAACTTCAAGAGCTTCAAGAACTTCAACAACTTCAATAACTTGAGGAACTTCAAGCATTGGAAGAACTTGAAGAACTTCAAAAACTTCAAGAGCTTCAAGAACTTCAAGAACTGGAAGAACTTGAAGAACTTGAGGAACTTGAAAAACTTGAACTTGAAGAACTTGAAGAACTTGAAGAACTTGAAGAACGTGAAGAACTTGAAGAACTTGAAGAACTTGAAGAATCTCAAGAACCTCAACAAACTCAGTAACTTTAGGAGCTTCAGGAACTTCAGAAACTTCAAGACCCTCAAGAACTTCAAGAACTTCATGAACTTCAAGAACTTCAAGAACTTCAACAACTGAAAGAACTTGAAGAACTGGAAGAACTGGAAGAACTGGAAGAACTTAAAGAACTTGAAGAATCTCAAGAACCTCAAGAAACTCAAGAACCTCAGTAATTTCAGGAACTTCAGGAACTTCAGAAACTTCACCTTCAAGAACTTCAACAACTTCAAGAACTTCAAAAACTTGAAGCACTTCAAGAACTGGAAGAACTTGAAAACTAGAAGAACTTCATGAACTTGAAGAACTTGAAGAACTTGAAGAACTTGCAGAACTTGAATAACTTGAAGAACTTGAAGAACTTAAAGAGTGTCACCCCAAGAAACTCATGAACCTCAGTAACTTTAAAAACTTCAGGAACTTCAAGAACTTCAAGACCCTCAAGACCCTCAAGACTCTCAAGACCCTCAAGACCCTCAAGACTCTCAAGACCCTCAAGACTCTCAAAATCCTCGAGGCCCTCGAGGCTTTCGAGACCTTCGAGCCTTTCGAGACCTTCAAGATCTTCAAGACTTCAACAACTTGAGGAACTTCTAGCATTGGAAGAACTTGAAAAATTTGAAGAACTTGAAGAATCTCAAAAACTTCAAGAAACTCAAGAACCTCAGTAACTGCAGGAGCTTCAGGAACTTCAGGAACTTTAGAAATTTCAAGAACTTCAAGAACTTTATTTCTGCGGAAATCGTTCGGGGGGCCTGAATTGGAGTAGGGCTATATTTTAAACCCGTATACAAAGTTGTGCGGCTCTCGGCACTTAAAGCTGTTGAAAATTGCTCCTAAAGATTCTCAAAGACTCACAAAAGCTCTTAACAATTATATGCTGTTAATAAAGGTAGATAATCTTAATGACTTTTTGAACATGCTTTTTGAGGTTCTTTGGAGCTTTTTGACACCCTCTTAAATAACTTTTATGGACCAACAAAACCAGGGGTCTTAAGGTTAACCATTATTAAAGGGAATTAAACATTTTAAAGACTTTTTAAAGATTCTTAAAGGTCTCAATCAAAGGATCTAGAGGACGGCTCTTCCAAAAAGCACGTAGGATTATCTAGGGGATCCCTAGTAAATTCTAGGTATGTTACACAAATAAATTACAAAATGGAAATTCTCATTAAAATTCTAAGGAGAACCCAAGAACAACTTAAGATTCGATCAGTTTTCGTAAAATGTGCAATGCGAAACGGTTTTACGAACCGAATGATTTAAGAAAACTCAATTTACTTGCTATGTACTGACGCAAGTCAGACAGACAGAGAAATTTACTCAACGGGCGTCGGTCTTCCCAAGATCCAATCTCTAGAAATCCATAATTGGAGGGATCAAGCGTCATACCTAAAGAATTGGAACGCAGCCATTTTGTATCCTACCTTCATCGTGTACTAATCCGAAACAATTGGAATACGTGCACGTCCCGCGACACTTTTTAGGCACTCGTCACCCTCGCGCTTCGTTACTTAAATGGCAATACCGATGACGACCCACTTGCTTAATATCTACCCCCCCAGATGCCAGTCGGTTTCCTCAGATCACCCCTAAAGGCCTTTTCGTTACCATTGAACCAAGTCTGAAGTCGAACTGAAAGTATAGCCAGCCTATTTTCACTAATTATTAATAACAATCATGTACCTGGTACGCGCGAAGGCATTACAATTCGCACAGTGTCAGAGATTGCCTTGATGAATTATGCATTACTCACATATTAAAATTTATAACAGTTCGAAAAGGCCAGAGTCGACTGAGCAGGAGAAATCCAAGTCGCCGAACAAGGGACAAGGCGACGTATTTAGGGACTTTGCAGCGAGAGGCTGACCAGTCCCCTCTGGATACCATCCTTAGTGGTTCCCTTAGAAAATACGAAGTGTTAATATATATACCCAACCCAATATACTAAGAACAAATGCAAATTAAATGAAACAAAGAAACAACATTCTTTGAATTTTTGAAATTTGAAATGGAAGAGAATACATATTTTTTCTTTTCGTAATACCAACGCCTGCAGTACTTACCAGCAGAAGTCGAGAAGCGACTGCAATCCTAACTTACTCCGTACTCATGAGTAGAGACCCCTTTCCTTTCATGTCAAAACCACGGACGTTTCGGGGCATTTTTGAATCTACTTCTGTAGCCCCTATATATTCTGTATACTCTGTATATCATGTATATGCTGTATATTCTGTATAATCTGTATGTTCTGTATATTCTGTATATTCTGTATATTCTGTATATTCTGTATATTCTGTATATTCTGTATATTCTGTATATTCTGTATATTCTGTATATTCTGTATATTCTTTATATTCTGTATATTCTGTATATTCTGTATATTCTGTATATTCTGTATATTCTGTATATTCTGTATATTCTGTATATTCTGTATATTCTGTATATTCTGTATATTCTGCATATTCTGTATATTCTGTATATTCTGTATATTCTGTATATTCTGTATATTCTGTATATTCTGTATATTCTGTATATTCTGTATATTCTGTATATTCTGTATATTCTGTATATTCTGTATATTCTGTATATTCTGTATATTCTGTATATTCTGTATATTCTGTATATTCTGTATATTCTGTATATTCTGTATATTCTGTATATTCTTGTATATTCTTTATATTCTGTATATTCTGTATATTCTGTATATTCTGTATATTCTGTATATTCTGTATTTCTGTATATCTGTATATTCTGTATATTCTGTATATTCTGTATATTCTGTATATTCTGTATATTCTGTATATTCTGTATATTCTGTATATTCTTATATTCTGTATATCTGTATATTCTGTATATTCTGTATATATTCTGTATATTTCGTATATTCTGTATATTCTGTATATTTCTGTATATTCTGTATATTCTGTATATTCTGTATAATTCTGTATATTCTGTATATTCGTAATATTCTGTATATTCTGTATATTCTGTATATTCTTATATTCTGTATATTCTGTAATATCTGTATATTCTGTATATTCTGTATATCTGTATATTCTGTATATTCTGTATATTCTGTATATTCTGTATATACTGTATATATTCTGTATATTCTGTATATTCTGTATATTCTGTATATTCTGTATATTCTGTATATTCTGTATATTCTGTATATTCTGTATATTCCTGTATATTCTGTATTCTGTATTCTGTATATTCTGTATATTCTGTATATTCTGTAATCTGTATATTCTGTATTCTGTATATTCTGTATATCTGTATATTCTGTATATTCTGTATATTCTGTATATTCTGTATATCTTTATATTCTGTATATTCTGTATATTTGTATATTCTGTATCTGTATTCTGTATATTCTGTATATTCTGTATATTCTGTATATTCTGTATATTCTGTATTTCTTATATTTCTGTATATTCTGTATTCTGTATTCTGTATATTCTGTATATCTGTATATTCTGTATATTTCTTATATTCTGTATATTCTGTATATTCTGTATATTCTGTATATTCTGTATATTCTGTATATTCTGTATATTCTGTATATATCTGTATATTCTGTATATTCTGTATATTCTGTATATTCTGTATATTCTGTATTCTGTATATTCTGTATATTCTGTATATTCGTATATTCTGTATATTCTGTATATTCTCTGTATATTCTGTATATTCTGTATATTCTGTATATTCTGTATATTCTGTATATTCTGTATATTCTGTATATTCTGTTATATTCTGTATATTCTGTATATTCTTATATTCTGTATATTCTGTATATTCTGTATATTCTGTATATTCTGTATATTCTGTATATTCTGTATATTCTGTATATTCTGTATATTCTGTATATTCTGTATATTCTGTATATTCTGCATATTCTGTATATTCTGTATATTCTGTATATTCTGTATATTCTGTATATTCTGTATATTCTGTATATTCTGTATATTCTGTATATTCTGTATATTCTGTATATTTTGTATATTCTGTAGATTCTGTATATTCTGTATATTCTGTATATTCTGTATATCCTTTATATTCTGTATATCCTGTATATCCTGTATATTCTGTATATTCTGTATATTCCGTATGTTCTGTATATTCCGTAGATTGTGTAGATTCTGTCGATTTTGTCGATTCTGTCGATTTTGTCTATTCAGTCGATTCTGCCGATTCTGTCGATTCGGGAGCCCGCGAGGTTATTTTTTCCATTTCGAAATTCGAGTAGGTAGCTAGGGGCATGGTTTCGCAATAACAGGATCGAATCGATGTTCTTAAGTTCTTAAGCCCGATCCGTAACGATTTCTTTGCAAGTTTCCCCCCCCCCCCCCCCCCGGTAGCGCTCAAATCATCAGTTTATTGAAATGCACACTTGTCGACTCGTAGTTAACCCACCTTACTCTAATCTGACGCGCTCGCTTAAATCCCAAAATTTCGCATTGGGTTTCCCTATTATTAACGGCTATTTTCAAGGCGTTTTTCGGAAATTAAAGTGAGAGAGAGTTTGCTTTTTGAGTATTCCACGGGCGGCTACCAGGCAGTAGAGTTCGTAGGGCCGAACCCGCCATAGTAACGGTTTTTTTTGCAAGTTTTTGGATTTCCTCTTCCCTCCCGTCACGCTCAAATCATCAATTTTTTGAAATGCACACCTTGTCAACACGTAGCCAACCCACCTTACTTTAATCTGACTCGCGCTCGATTAAATCCCAAAGTTTCGCATTGAGTTTCCCTACTATTAACGGCTATTGTCAAGGCGTTTTTCAAAAATTAAAGTGAGAGAGAGTTTGCTTTTTGAGTATTCCACGGGCGGCTACCAGGCAGTGGAGCTCGTAAACCCGATCCCGCCATAGTAACGGTTTTTTGGCAAGTTTGCGGCCTTCCCCTTCGCTCCCGTCTCGCTCAAATCATCAGTTTATTGAAATGCACACTTGTCAACACTTAGTCAACCCACCTTACTTTAATCTGACGCGCTAGATTAAATCCCGAAAATTCGCATTGGGTTTCCCTACTATTAACGGCTGTTTTCAAGGCGTTTTCCGGAAATTAAAGTGAGACAGAGAGTTTGTTTTTTGAGTATTCCACGGGCGGCTAACAGGCAGTAGCGTTCGTAAGCCCGATCTCGGCAAATTTGCGTGTGTAGCTCGTAGTGGTTTTCATTTGAAGGGGAATTTAAAATCACCTTTAATTTCTGATGTAAAATTCCATTCAAGTAAGTAACTAATCCTCTGTAAACAACTTTGTATGCAATTAACGCGTATTGATTAAATTAACTCTGACATTTGGATTACGTAACACGGATAATACTTGGGATTGCAAAACAGAAAAGCCTTTCAGCTACGAGCCAAGACCCAACATCAGCAACCCCGATTTCAGTCCACAAGTTCTCAATAAAGGATGGTGCAGTTTTCTAAAGGTTGACCGGATCAAGGGGTAATTTTAGACGCTGTATGATTAAGGTAAAGTATATTTGTATTCAGATTCCCCCACCAATGTCAATAAAACATTTACATCTAACATTTTGCTTTTTCCGTTATGCACACGTTCTTATTGAAAACGTGGCGACGCATGTCACACGTCATTTGATAATAGAATGTATCCCAATCGACTGTCTTTATATCAAAATTAAACATCTTTCTATCCTTCTTGTCGAGAAGACTCCAAAGTGCCTGAGTGTTGACGTCCTTAAACAGCCAGGGTCTTCCCGATGCAAATGCGCCATCTTGTATATATCTCGCTAATCCTTTATACAGACGAACGCTTCTAAAATGATCAGCATGAGCCGAATCGGGACATAACCAATACTTACGAGAGCTGTTTTCCAAAAAATGAAACGTTGCGATTCATTAAATAAACCACAGGGAGAAAGAATAGCTGAATAAGACTCAATAGCATGTCGCTCTTGGAGAAGATAAGGAAACGATTGAAGAACCTCTCACTTGCTGGTATTATTGAGTCGTACTTCTGCAGAAGCTGTCGATGGCGACCTGGTGAACACGCAATTAGAAATTGGCATGTCTCGATCATTCTTACCCCACGTTATCGGATTCTGATTGCTGCTCACGCAATTAAAAATACGAACTTCGGGGTTTTCCACTTTCCTGCAAATGACGTGTATTCGAAATTATGAAATATGGATAACAGATAGTAGGGAGTTGGGGAGAGCTAATAACCCACCACTCCAAGGTCCACCCAACGTTCAAGGTCAAGTCAATGGTATACCTTTCAAGGTCGAGGTGCATGGTTACTTCAAAGATTCCACACATTCAAGGTCGAGGTGATTTCCAACTCTCAGTACAGTTAACGAAGTCACCCATCACCATATAAACATAAAACACAGTAATTTTTAAACAATATTTATTTTTTAAAGATACAAGAGCCTCATACTTTAAAAAATAACAGATATATTGATGTCAAATGAATATTAAAAGAAACACTTTGAAGGTTTTTCAATATTAACGGTGGACAGCTTCGGGATCAGGTGTACCATACTAGTAATTACATATGAAAGTAGCGTTTACTTCACCTCGACATGTCGGCTTTCTCTGTAATAATACTGCGTACACACAATCCTTCGACCAGCGCAGGTGTTCATCTAAAGGAACGTCGCTACTTTTCCACTTGTTGATACGAACGTTACAGAAAATACATTTTACAGTATCACCAACTTGTGTATACACAAATCCAGCACTTGCGAGGGATTTTGGTGATTGCGCTCCTTTCCAAGATTGGTATGATAATAAGCGCTTATCAAAACAGAAGTTGTCGGGCTCCACATCTTCTCCACACATCTTGAAACAATGATTACCACTGCTTGGGCGCTAGCAGCTTTATGTATCCCCTCCACTGTCATCCATCACACTTCAAGGTTAAATCCACCACACAGTCAAGGTTAAATCAATGATTAAATCCACCACACAGTCAAGGTCTCCACACAACCAACGTTACGTGGGGGATTTGGTACTATATAATACACACAATGTAATGCATGGTAGTAGTCACCGATCATGGATAATATCAACTTTTTAAAGCAAACCGTTGATAAATTGAAGAACAATAATACAGTGCCTTTCACGGTTAGTGATGTTAATTTAGTCAATCAATCGCGTTATGAACTTAACAATAGTAAAAGTAAATGGGTGTGTGTTGGACTATCAGTGTACCGTCAATTCACACCAATGGTAAGAATCTGTGGATCCAAGACTGCAGGTGTTTCCTTTGATAAAAGTGAATGGAAAGTATTCACAGACAATCAAAACCTTATTACGAATTACTTCTGCTCAACAGAAGGAAAATTGTTACCAATTAAGGTGGGATTCAAAACCATAACGTCTGAAGTGATAAACAATACCAAAGTCATAAAAATCGTTGACAACGGGGAATGTGACATTTATATGGCATTTGGTTCACTTCAACGGTTGTGGTTACTGGCGAATTTAATAACGTACCGTCTGGAAATGTTAACCACATTAGAGTTTGATAATTTTTACAATAAGATTATAAATGCCTCCGCTGAAATGACTGGAGATTACATTGAAAATATAATGAGTATCATTACACCGTTACAGGACTTGCATGACCAGAACACTACCGTCTTAATGGAAGTGGTACTGTTTGTCAAGGACAAACTCATGTGGGATGCTGAAATTATCAAGTCGTTAAACTAAGTGGGGGAATTGTATATATATTTTGTGCATGTTTCTGTATGAAACACTAGTCATCATGTGGTTTGCTTATAGTCAGCAGAGTTGGCCTGTTGCTTATGATGGATATTCGGCGGTGCAGAGATTACATAGGGAAATGAGGGATTTGTGTTTTGACGCTGAACATGAGCAAGTGTATGGTTTGGGAAGATGGTACAGTGATGAATATTTACATAACCTAGCGGACAAGTACACCAGTGGAGAGAGCTTGTGCCAGGAGTATTTATTAATACACAAGGAAGAAGAAGGAAATGGTTTCACCATCGAAGATCATCCAAGAAACTGCTTTTCGTGCCTTCGACACCTTGTTGAGGATTTAAAATCCAAATCACTTGACAGCTTCGTGAATAACATCGAAAAATATTTACCAAGAGAAGATGTCAACGGGTCGAGTGAAATTTAATGACTCTATAAACACAGTGCGGTATATGGTCGTGTGGAAGTTCGCGCACCATGCAGCTCGGATAGGATTATGGGAACAACATGCAAGAGATACTGAACGTTTTAAAAGGCGAATTATTGAGTTAGACAAAGTTATATCCATTATATTAAGTAAGCAACATAGGGAAGCTATATACATTAGTCGCTTTAGTAATGGTGAATGTATAGAAATGAAACAATAAATTTGTAAAAAAACATTTTATTTTTTATATTATATTACATCTGAGGTAGATATCCAAGAATTATGAGAATTGTCAAATCCTAACCATTTTACAAAGGACTTATCACCTCGTCGACGTATTACACGTTCCACTAAATGAATGTCTGGAAATTTGACAGCCTGCAGTTCTGGTTCGTAAAAGCGACCTTTGATGTCTTGCTGGCGACTATCTCGTAAAATATATGAAATTGGTGTTGATCGTTTTACCATAGCAACTTGAAAAACTTCATAGCTCCAGTTAGGGGTATAACCTTTAGAGAATACACTCCTATGCTTGCTGATACGCACATAATCTCCCACAGCAAACTTGGAGGGTTTGGGATCCATTACTTTACGGTATTTGTAAGATTTACGTAAAATGCTCGCAGAATTTTTATCATTAACTTCATTAGGTTTATATCCAGTAGTTCGATGTTTAGTGGAATTGTACTTTTCAACTATTTGGGGTAAAAGCGATAGCCATTTGTAAGAACCCTGTAAGCTGAATGCCTTCCACATCATTCCTTTAAGAGTTCGATTAACTCGTTCCACAATACTGCTTTTAAGATTAGAATAACTACTATAATGGTTGATGTTGAATTTTTTCATAACGTCACTGAAGTTCTTATTATAAAATTCCTTTCCCATATCAGTTTGTAAATTTTTTGGAAGTTTTCTAAGTCCAGATAACAGTTTATTCATAGCGTCTGCTACGAGTTTTCCATTTTTACGTTTTATAGGATATGCCCAAACAAACTTTGAAAATGCGTTTATAACTACCAAAATGTAGCGAATACCCTTGTTAGTCCCAGCATACGGTATCATTTCAACTAAATCGGCTTGAAATAAATCATTAAGACCTTTGATCACCACAGATCGTCGTGGAAAATTCTTTCTTGTCGGTTTATGTAATTCTTCCACTATCACTTCCTTACTCATTTCTTAAGCTTGGATTGCAATATGACATTCAGATAAAATCCGACACCTACACCAGCAGAGTCGCATGATACACTAAATATATCATTTCTTTTCAATGTCAACCCGATCAACGATGAAGGAGCGTCAAACTTTTTCTCATTTATATTTACTTTACTATCTTTAGGAAACCATGAACAACTAACAACGGTTCCTTCAGTAAGAGGAAATTTATATCTAGTATCTTCTTCACTATGGTAAAGGTAAAACGATGATGCTGTTTTATGCATTATTCCTTTTATTTCAAACTGGTACTCATAAGTATATGTTGACGGGTCATACATATAGTGGTGCGCGTGAATGTGTCGTCCAAATTTGTCGAGAGTCATAATTGTAATGAATTCAAATGCAATAAGAGCGCACCTTTATTCTTCTTGCAAAGGAACATGCAATATGACCTCGAACAAGAATGGCCTCTGTAATTTCTTCTTACAATGTGCTGATATCTGATCATTAAATGTTAACACATGCCCTCTCATTGTAGATGGATCCGTATAGGTTTTTCCAGCAATGTGGACTGTAGCGTCAGATGGAAACCATCTGCACGTTGCAACGATGGCTTTTTTCATTGGGAACAAGTAAATATGGTCTTTTTCCCCATGAATAGTAATTCTACGTGTAAAACTGTGTTGATAACCCATAATTATTAAAGGTAGTTCAAGCGCCATGGTCTTACTGATAAATAAATATACCTTCTCATTGTATTATACCAGAATTACGCAACTCTTCAGTTATGTAAATTATTTCATTATGATTTGCCGTGTTCCCGGCAGACTTAGATCCTAATAACACCCTTAACCAATTCACTAACTTGTTTGGATCATTCCAAGGAACAAATTCTATTTTTTTATTGTTAAGCTGTAGAGTTGATAAAGTACCTCCCCGTTTCGTAGAAAGGGTTAGAGCGCGCTGTCTGAGTGTTGGACCTAGATGTGATGACGAGAATCCGCTTGATGAACTTGATCCTTGCAACAGTGGTTTAATAATTTGAACATACTTTGGTTGACCGTTTCCTTGGATTTGAGCTTTGGCATCATAATGTCGACGTGCTGCACTAGTGCGTATTATAATATCACGATAAGCTTTAGAATCTGCAGATTTAAAGCCAATGGGATTTCTTTTAAAGAGTAGTTCGAATAATCCTGGAGTTCCCTTGTATGTGAAGCGTTCTCCATTAGAAGACACAATCACAATATCTTCCTTAGCAAAATCTAATTCCGAATCACCCACGAAAAATTTGTTTAATGTTGGTTCATAGCGGACGCCATACTTATGGTCATACTCGTTATTCGTGTCCCTAAATATTCCCTCTACATATATCTTTGGCAAACCGTGGTATTGATCGAGAAATTCTTCAAATGCAGGATTCGTTCCTACGTGGGACAATTCCTCGCGCAAGTCGTCAAGTGTCGGTACATCAATATCGTCTTCTGGAGTGGGATCTCCATATTCGCTATCTTCTAAAATGCTAGGCTCATGCAAAACACTGGGTTCATCGATAGAAAAAAGGTTTCTTGCCACCTTTTGGGGAGTGGAAGTTCTCGGAGTTTGTTGGGCAAATATTGGTGATTGACGTTTGACACTTGGTAGTTCTGTTTTGACGGTATCTAACTTAGTAACTGTCAAGAGTTGTTTTAGCGGTTGGGTAATGGGTTTAAAGTGTTGCTCTACCATGCGTTCTGTAACCGCCATATCCTGCTTCAAACTGTCATATTTCTGTTTGACAGATTTGCGAGCAAGTAGCAGGTCTTTTGCCAAACGCTTTTCCATGATAACTACGATAGACGATAATGGATGTATTTATAGGGATATGTAACAATCGAATCCTTTTCTATATCGGCCAGCGGTAATGTCACTTA